TCATGTAAAGAACACTCGAAATTAAAATATCGGCTTGAAATTCAAGAGGGCCGCGACATCTGCCAGATCGACTGTGAAATACCAATTTTGGGGAAAACTGGGCTGAACTTTGTAGCCACTATAATTGTTTACAAACGGACGGACGGACAGATAGACGTTTTACCGTCAATCGACTTTTCGGTACCAAGGACCCACAAAACATGGATTCTGGCTACACCACGCGTTAGAGGATTTCTTTCCAAATTTAACTGAATTTATCCATTTTTTTCTTTATCAGGGCCGTGTAATAAGAATTACAGACATTCCCCGTTTTTTCGCGCAGCGTTATATAATTTTCTCTCTAGAGCGGAAGTGATAGTAAGAAAGTACACGTACAAGAAAAAATTCTCTACTTTGTTTAATTTTTAGTTTAAAATGTGTTGGTACGCGCGAAGGACATGTGGAGGACACTTGGGAGACATGCGGGAGAATGTAGAGTAAAGATGAGAGAACGTGAGAAAAATGTATGGCTTTGATTTCCTTTCCGCTTCATCTCTAGTGTACAGAAAATTGAAGGAGAAAGGAAAGGGAAAAATTATGATAGGAAATTTTAAAAAGGAATATAAATAAAAAGGCAAGAAGCAAGAAATAGACAAACGAAAGGACAAGAGATGAACGAGCGTATTGTGCCAGAATAGCGTAACATATTGCTTAAGATTTTAATTTCAGAAGCTGAAGAAGAAAGTAAAATAAAATGGGAATAAATAATAATAATAATAATAAGAAGAAGAAGAAGAAGAAGAAGAAGATAAATAAGACGACTAAAAAGAGGAAGAATAAAAAAGAGAAAGAATAATAATCCATTGCCAAGACGTGTCGTGCTTTTGAGTATTAATTTCTACCAGCAAACAAACCACGAACCCTATTGTTAATGCACTTCCGAAATGTGATCGTGACCTATCGTTTTGAACTTAATCGATCGCTTGATTCCACAACTCGAGCGAAACTTTCCAAACTATCCTAGCAGTCCCAGGGGCCATGGAACTTCCACATACTTAGCCAGCGAAGAAAGAAAATATGAGAATTCGAGAATGCGCGCACCTGGCCTTCGCCGCGCTCCCTTCTCTCGCTCCACCCACTTTCCTGTCGGGGGGGGGGGGAGGGAGTCCGGAGACGCGAGTAATATCTCCAGAGGCATCAGAGGAGCGGGGGATCGGAAGCCGCGCCCTCGAGTGGGCGCCCGCCCGCCCGCCTGCGCGTCCCCGACGAGCATCTTTCATTGCGAACACGTAGCACCGCGTCGGGGATCCGTTTCGAGAAGAATACATCGGATGCTGCGAATAAAACGGTCCCTTGTTATTGGAAGGAAAGGGTTCGCTTACTTTTCAGTCAAAGGTGCTTTTCCGAAAAGGGAAGTGTTTTTCGGTACGTTGTATCATCATCACCACCACATCGTCATTTTCCTTTCTTTTATTTAAATTAAATTATTAGGTTTGTTGACTTAATATTATGCTGTGTGTGTTCCTGCTTTTGTTTCTCTCGATACCTAAAGACGTTTCTGCCGGATGAGACTTTTTCCTTCAGATAGAGCCCTCGCTAGCCTCCCCAACCACTGCGCCGATATGTCTCGCGAGCCCCATATCGATCATACTATTGGACAAGCGTAGCTCACGAGTCTATCGCGCTCTGTCCTGTAGAAGGGGAAGGTTCCATTTTTCCTAGATGACATTGAAGCTGCGGCTCGTAAGTCCTTACGTCACTCACCTGTTTTGATCCCCGCTTAGCACCCCCTCACACAAACGCAAATTACGTGGGATGGGACGGAATGACTGGTGGGATATGGCGCTTAAGGGTGACACATGTGATGGGAGAGCACACGTTTCCCTACATTCAGCTCATACGCGGGATTTAAACGTACAGCGCGGATGGAAGTGTACTTGACATCAAAGCCTCCACACCCCACAGCCACCAAATCCGGCTAGGAATGCAAGGAAACGTGTTGAAATGTAGCATGATGCCACAACCCACAAGAAAGCGTCTCTTTTAAATATTGTAGAAGTTCTTTCCTCTCAAGTTTTTCACTCTTGAAAAAAAAATTGTTTGAAACCAATGCGTAAACATAAGAATGATTAATATTGTGTAAGAAAGTGTTATCATATTGTGTAATCCTTCTTTATAAATTCGAAATAATTTCATACGTTTCTTCACACGAAGAGTTTGGTGGAAATATTAAGAGAATATATTGTCGACTATTTCCCTCAAGTGATTTCGGCCAATGACAGTGAAGACGTTGTACCTTATGAGCCAATCGCTGCTATAATCCTCCGTGCGTCTTATCGGTGTTGTATTATCGATTTTGTCCTACGACTACCTCGTTGCTGATCAGACGTAATGATCGAGGTGACCTTAAGACATACGTCAGATTGGGATTCGATTTTTTACGATTCAGTATGACGGATTGGGATCCGGGCTCCTAAAACATCATATTTGACAACAGGTGCATGGTACAAAAATTGCACCGTTATTCCCCCATATATTATATCTAAGTGGACAGAAAAGTAAAAAACAAAAATTACAAATCATTCTGCGCGTACAACAGGAGTATTACATTATGATCAACGTTGGTGCACAAGAACAAGAAGTAATTAAAATAACAGGCCATACAAATGATCATCACTAATACTTTACCCCAAATTAATCCACAATACAATATCAATTGTAAATTTCGAGACACTTCTGCTCCATCGACTTCCAACTCAGATAATCAAACAAAATAATCCCTTTTTTCGCGGTTACAATTTTGGAAACTGTGTATTCAACAACCGACGATTTAAATAATGTGTAATGTTTCTTTGTTTATGAACTTATTTCATCATGCTACATTTAAATTTTTTTTAATGGAAAATTCTCTGAATATCTATTGTGTGATGAAAATAAATTTTGTATTTAAGGTCTATTTACTGAATAGTGGATGTATTTTGTTTCTTGCCACTGTACGGGTCGTGAATTCATTCGTAAACTCCGAAAGTCTTGTATTATTTTTGATAACTTTTAATTCAATGTGAACGTACACACTAACGACCCTTACGTCAGTCTATGCACCTTATTGATATTTATTAAAATAATACGTAATACATGCCATGAACTGCACTTTTCAGAAAAGTAACTTTTTAAGAAGAACTCAATCAAATCAGAAAAGTCACATACATGTGCGAGCATATTTTCACGAACACAATCTCGCGAGCAAGGGCGTTCGTCAACATAAAAAGATAAAAGTGATGAGCATTTTCCTATGGAGTCGATGAAGTTGCAAAACTTGTAGAACCAACTAACCTTTGGAATTCTATTTACGACAGAAACTCAATTTAGCTTCTACTTTTACAACGCAAACCTGGGTGTCGTTTCCCTCACGCTTCGACAATGTTGCTTCACGACCCCGATTGCTGACTTCCTTACGCAAGTAGAGGTGAACAGAAAAGCCTCAGAAACCATGTTTACGCAGAGAAATCGGAACTGAGGATTCATCCGCAATTTTTCCCTTTGGCTTTGAATCACAAAAACATACGGGTTTTTCCAAATGATTAACGAAAATATTGCACTATGCTATCCTTTTCTGTTTCCTCAGCACGTTTAAAAAAATTCAAGATGACGTTTTCGAGGGATTCATATACAGATGGTAAACATTGATTTTGAACTTTTTACTTATACAGTCCGTTGGCGTAGACGTTGTTTTAGCGTGCGCGTAGCACACAATTTTAGCAAAGCACCCTTCAATATAACCATACGTGTTCCAATGCGTTATACCGCAAGTTGATTTGTTGACACCTAAATTATATTTATCCTCCTGCAAATAAGTTTTGTTTTGATTGCCTCATGGTCATTGCATCAAGATGAAAGTGAAGCTTTCAGTTAACAAAGTGACTGAGCAAAGTGTGTAACAAGTTCTGTCAATAACGTTTAACTCTAATTTGGCAGTTTATCATGTCAAAATGCACGTAATTGAAACTCATTAGTATCGCATAAATAGCTCACAAATACACAGCCTCACGCAGTAGATTAAACATCATTGAGAAGAAATGAATATGTAACAAACATTGACTGGGCTTATATCGTTTTGCATATTTCAGTATGCAAAGTCTCTATGAAGCCCTATACAATTTAAATCATTATTGTTGTTACTACATATTGTGGCGTTTTTCGGTTATTTGATTGACTGTGCGTGATGTCTAATATGATATCTGATGTGTCTTGCAATGTTTAAGGAAAACAGAAATTCAAATCGACTGAATGAAATGTAACAATAATATTAATGTTCTTCACAATAACACTTGAAGAAAGTTGGAATGTTCAAATGACGTTTCTTATCAATCTGAGGAAGATGTTGCTTTGTTCTGCAGCATAGAAACCTATCTATATTACTAATTTCCAAAACGCACAGAAATTGAGAGAAAACTATGCATCGTTTTGATATGTGTTTATGATTTTGTTAGATACTCAGGATCATGGGAATAAGCTCTATGCCAAAAGTGAGCATCAGCAATTTAAACTCGAAATTGGCAAGCGCAGATAAAAGTTATTAAGTTAGATTCAGAACTCCAGAACACTACTTTTGATACTACCTCTAGAAAAATGAATTCTGATACAGAACGATAGTTGCTTGAAAGAGCTGAATTAATTAACTTCTTGAAGAAAGAACATCATAAATATAACATATGAATTTAAAAGTAGTTATTGGTGAACAAAGGAGTCTATCTTTTGAAACGTATTAGTGTGGGCTGAACCCTTCTTCTTTCTTCGTAACTTAAACCTGTTGAATAATGGTTTCAATAAAATAAATTCACTTTCAGAGAGGTGCCAACAAGCTTCTTGTTTTGTTCACATAATATTACTTGGAATTACGTTGGATGTTGTACTTTCTTTCATTGTACACAATAAAAACAATAACATAAATCATGCAAATACGAGTAATACATCGGTATACAAGTAGTACGGCGACTCGCCTGGTCGCAGCTGCTACTCACCTTGAGGTGGATGAAGTGCGTGCCGATGACGTTGTGCTGGCCCACCGCCTCGTCGCGCAGCTGCACCTTGATGCGCTGGCACAGCGGCGGGAACATCTCGGTGAAGACCAGCTGCTCGTTCCAGACGGGCGCGTAGCTGTGCTTGCGCACGCTCGTCCGCCCCTGAGGCAGCGCGCGAGGCTCCCGCGTAAGGCGCTTGCCAAAGAGGTCGAAAACAATACGCCGAGAGAGAGACCAACAACAAATGTTCTTATCGGATACGCTGGTATGATGATACAGACTGTCTCAGAATAAATGTTACGAACTTCTAGAGTACGCCTCAACTTTTAGGGGGTTGAAGATGATAACATTTCGCAACGACATTTAGTGATAAATATCAGGCCTATTTCACAGTTTTGATCGGCATCGTGTCCTGATTTTTGGCAATATTCAAAATATATTGGGTCTGCGTCAGAATGTGTACCTGCCAAACACAATGCATTATGAGTCATCTACCAGAGAGGAGCAAATTAGATTTCCCGCCACATATTTGTTGGCCAAAGGTGATCATCTTCGACCCCTGCATGCTCTAGTAGTAACATTATTTTTTTGAGTTGCACTGCCGTGGCCATGGAGTGGATGTTTGCAGATAACACTCAGGATACGCTTGTATGACGATACAGATTGTGTCAGAATAAATGTTACGAACTTCTAGAGTACGCCCAAACTTTTAAGAGATTCAAGATGATAACATTTGACAACGAACTTTTAGTGATAACTCTCAGGCCGATTTTACACTTTTTATCGGCATAGTGTCCTGATTTTTGGCAATATTCAAAATATATTGGGTCTGCGTCAGGATGTGTACCTGTCAAACACAATGCATGATGAGTCCCCTACCAGTGAGGAGCAAATGCTTACGTTGTATAACTTCTTAAATAGATTTCTGTTTAATTAGATTTCCCGCCATATATTTGCTGACGAGTCGTAGGGTTTCGTACAATTTCTGATAGTAATAGAAATCAGAAACTAGAAAAGCCTAGTGCTGTTGCTGCGGGGCGAAGGAGGTAGCAACCAAATAAGCAGCAGTAGGTAGCAATTTCGATACCTGAACAAGGAGGGTTTTATACAGACATTTCATCAGATTAAATGGTCTAATGGGTTCGTAAAACAGAGCTTCTTATGGGCTCCCACATCACATTAGGGTTCGCTTGTAATATGCAGAAGGATATTGATTATCCGGCCCTGGATATGCTTATTTACAGAGGGAATAAAGGACCACTAAACCTTTTCTAGAGAAGTTCCAATTCGCTATCACTACGCAAAAAAGTAGCAAAAAATACAAACAGCAGTAGATAAACAATCATGATGCTCCAAACCGATTGCCTTGTAAACACGGCATCTTCTGCTAAGGTCTGTAAAGACTCCTTATCATCGCTTATGCTGCTTTCCTGTGATACGGCGCGGGCCGTCACTATTTGTATCACCAGGAATGGAATCTAAATATCCTGCACTGGCACGCTCGTTCGCTGCGCAAACCCTTACGTTCTCACAGCACACGGGAGTTTAAAGATCATTCTTCTTGTAAGTGTGAAGCCGTGTATTTTACATAGCGTTCTTTTGCAATTTTCAACATTCAAACACATGAATTATCAAGAAAAGGGTATAAACATTTGCCAAACATTCTTAATTTAATTATTAACTTTTGAGTTCTGATTAATCTAAAATATAACACTATAAATATATTTGAATTATTTAATCTCTTCGAATGTCTTATTATTTCTCTTCCATGCAGAATAACAATTTGTCGAAAAATGTAGACTTTAAATAGTAAAATAGAAATTATAAGTAAATAAGGACCATAGTTTAAGAAAATTACACAACCATGACCATAAATTGACTTGTGACACCTTTCAAAACCCTTCCTAAATGTTACAAATGTCTGAAATGGTATTACTTCAACCATGGTTGAAAATATGATTTCCTAACTGAGCCTTTACTTATCTATATAAGCGCTTAATTCCCAAGAAAGAAATTGCCAAAACGTAGTCAGTTAAGAGTTATAATATTTGGATTTTGTTTTCAATCTCGTGTAAAATACATTGTTTGACAGCCAAATTGGCAATGAAATTGACTTTAATAGCCGACCATCTGTTCGTACAGAAGCAGAAAAATATTTTTTTCTTTTATACCTTCCCGTATGTTTACTTTGAGAATATCCACTCTGATGAAAATATTACGATCGTGCCCAAATGTCCTATCTCTTGAGTAAACACAAGAACGATGTTCATAAAATAAATCCACTCAGAAAGGTTGGATCTCGAAAAGGGACGTCTTCAGCGTTGTCGAGTGTGTTGTTTCAAGAGAAGAGGCTTCTCCAACTGTGAGAGATAACAATCGAAATGTTGGAAAGTGTGTGGTTAGGTGGCTTATTTGCGTGACTACACTCAGCAAGCTTTTAGCTCCATCAAGTGCAACAGCCAGTCATTTATGCGAGAGATTGAAATGGCAAACTTAGCTTTATCTTAGGGGAATCTAAGAAGACAGGAATTTATTAAAGTTGACGTTTCTGTCAGTGGCAATAAAAATTGATTCGGAACGAATTGTCTCTGATGACTTCGTTGAATAGTTTCAAACGAATTCAGAGAGACGTTTCAAATGAGTGTGCTACGTTCCGAGGTTTTTTGGGAACATTACTTCTTATTTAACAAGACATGATTTTTAATAATTGTTTATGTTTTGTAAAAAAATCGTGAAAATACATTTCTCGTTCAATTCCTTTCAATATTTTAAATATATTGAAACACTTCTAACATTTAGGTGACTACAATATACGAGGTCATAGGTTTAAAAACAATTACTCTTAAAGTTACGTATTTCTCAACAGAAAACCGAATTAGAATATTTTTAGCTTGCGTCAATAAAGTGGTTATTTCAACATGATAATTTGCAAACCCTACTGATACGTTTTTTTAGTGAACATTAGTATAGAAGTTTTTTGTATTTAACCACTAATAAACGAAATAATGTAGATAATGTTATTTATTACTTAAATCGCTCTACTATTAAATCGCGTTTGCATCGCTTGACACATATTCGTCATGGATCCACATCATGTCAACTGAAAAATAAATTACATACGTTACTGAACAGAGAGAGGAAATTTTAAATGGACGAATAGACTGGTGCCGGGAAGCGAGAGAGATGGCGAGGAGAAGAGAGGAGCGAGAGGTGGGTCGCTGCGGTATTTACGGGGAGGATCGGCTTAGCCGAGAGAGAGAAAGAGAGAGAGAGAAAGAGAGAGAGAGAAAGAGAGAGAGAGAAGAGGAGAGAGAAAGAGAGAGAGAGAAGAGAGAGAGAGAAAAGAGAGAGAGAAAGAGGAGAGAATTAGAGTAGAGAGAAGAGAGAGAGAGAAAGAGGAGAGAAAGAGGAGAGAATAGAGAGAGAGAAAGAGAGAGAGAGAAAGAGGAGAGAGAGAAAGGAGAGAGAGAGAAAGAGAGAGAGAGTAAAGAGAGTATGAGAGAAAGAGAGAGAGAGAAAGAGAGAGAGGAAAGAGAGAGAGAAAGAGAGAGAATAAAGAGAAGAGAGAAAGAGAGAGAGAGAAAGAGAGAGAGAAGAGAGAGAGAAAGAGAGAGAGAAAGAGAGAGAGAGAAGAGAGAGAGAGAAAGAGAGAGAGAAAGAGAGAGAGAAAGAGCGAGAGAGAAAGAGAGACGAGAAAGAGAGAGAGAAAGAAGAGAGAAGAGAGAGAAAAGAGAGAGAAAGAGAGAGAGAAAGAGAGAGAGAAAGAGAGAGAAAAGAGAGAGAGAAAGAGAGAGAAAGAGAGAGGAGAGAAAGAGGAGAAAGAGAGAAAGAGAGAGAGAAGAGAGAGAGAAAGAGAGAGAGCAGAGAGCGAGAAGAAGAGAGAGAAAAATAGAGAGAGGAAAGAGACGAGTTGCAAAAGGAGCGACACGAGAGAGAGTGAGAGAGAGGGGAATGATTCAGGGTGCTAAGAGTGTAAGAAGAACGAAAGGAGTGATTGAATTAGTAATAGGGAGCAAGCGGAACGGGAGAAGCAAAGAGACGGCAAGAGATGGAGAGTGCGGATTGATTGAAGCTCCTATTAAGATTTTTGGGGCGAGTATCGCCCCAGAAAATACATAAATTACTATTAGCGCAACTCAAGCGACCAAATTTCCAGGAATAGATTCTACCACGCATGACAGAAACTTTTTCGTTAGCATGCGGTCCAGAGTGTTTTGATTATAGTTATGGGCACACTTACTAGAAGGCTCGTGTTTCACATGCATCAATTACTAGTGCTGAAACTAGTGGTGGCTATAAGATCGCAGCAAAATTTCATATTATTTTTTGGGGCTGGAGATGACTCAAATGTAGTTCAATATCAATTTTATTTACAGTACAACAAACTCTTGGTTACATATGTTTACCAATTCTGTGGGCGTTTCAGTTCAGTTAATACAAACATAATGCTTTTAATAAAGTTCTGATAATGGATATGTGAATAAAAAGTCCAATAAGTTCAGCATAGAATAATATTAGAATTACTAAAATATTTAAAAGTTCAGGTATCTTCGTATTAATAAACCGGTGAGGAGGTCGATAACTCCTTTAATAAAAGGTCGGATAACTGCGTTTAATAAAAGGTCGGATAACTCACTTTAATAAAAGGTCGGATAACTCGCTTTAATAAAATGTCGGATAACTCGCTTAAATAAAAGGTCGGATAACTCGCCCTTTAATAAAAGGATCGATAACTCACTTTAATAAAAGGTCGAATAACTCGCTTAATAAAAGGTCGGTAACTCGCTTTAATAAAAGGTCGGGATAACTCGCTTTTACTGAAAAGGTCGGGGTAATCGCTTTAATACAAAAGGTCGGATAAACTGCGCTTTTAATAAAAGGTCGGATAACTCGTCTTTAATAAAAGGTCGGTATTAAGCTCCGCTTTTATAAAATGTCGGATAACTCGCTTTTAATAAAAGGTGTTGATAACTTTGCTTTAAATAAAAAGGTCGGATAGACTTCGCTTTAATAAAAGGTCGCATAACTCGCTTTTAAAATAAAAGGTCCGGATAACTCGCTTTAATAAAAGGTCGGATAACTCGCTTTAATAAAAAGATCGATTAACTCACTTTAATCAACAGGTTCGGAATAGACTCAGCTTTAATAAAAAGGGTCGGTATCGGCTTTAATAAAAGGTTGATACGTACCATTAATAAAGAAACGATAACTCGTTCTCCGAACTCCAACTTCAATGCGGCTTTCTCTGCTGCGTGAAGAACCCATTCCGACAAATGCGTTGTCCACACGCTAGTCTAATGGTCACCTGAAATTGAATGAATGCCTTAATTTTACGTGGCGAGACTGCAAGCCATGAGGCCTGCCCGTCTGACCAAACGCAAATTTCGCTACGCTCCTAGGGAGAAAGGAGGCATTTCTTGGTCGAAAAGAGGCGGATTTGAAATTTAGCTCAGAGGCTCATTTTAAGGCTTGAGAAATCTTTTACATGCAAGTAAATCTACTTACATGGGACCGCCGGCTTTACTTCCCCTCCGAAGGAAGGCGTACGAAGGATTTTTTTCACCGTTAAAAATCCTTCTTGCAATCTTTTCTCTGCATGTTGATGGAAGGAGCGTAGCGAAATCTGCGCGGCCCTTAAAACTCCACGGCTTCCATCGGGTTTGAGCCCGCCAACTTGAGTACAACGGTCCGGTACGCTTAACGTCCGGTAACTCACCGTGAGGCCGGCGAAGGACACCTGCACGTAGGGGTCGACGAGGTCGCGCGGCTCGCCCGTGAGCGCGGAGCGGACGCTGTTGAGCAGCGCGGGCGCCAGGCGCGGCAGCCCATCGGCGCGGTACACGCGCACCACGAAGCGCGCGCGCTGCCGCTCCACCGGCACGCCCGCCGGCAGCAGCAGGTTCCTGCCAACGCGCGCGCGCGCACGCGGCGGGGCAGTAGTGGCTTCCGCGCCTCACCCTCAACCACACATCTTACGACGTGCATTTACATGATGCAATTAATAATAATAGTAATGATATTAATTATAAAAGTAATAATAATAAGATTAATAATAATTACAATAATAATAACCGTAAAATATTAATTATCATATTAATAATAATAGTAATATGCCGATCGGGTGGCAGAGATCGCTAAGGCAGTAGTGCCGTGGCGCTCTCGGACCGAAGGATTGCGGGTTCGATAAACGCCTCGGGCATGGTTCTATCGTGTTCCTCCTTTTACCTCCTATCATCATCATCATCATCATCATCATCATCATCATCATCATCATATCGTGTCATCCTCACAGTTACCATACAGTTACAAGCAATAGTGGTCGCTAATGACCTACAAGTTAATGCGACCTTAAATAAAAATAGTAATAATATAATAATAATAATAATAATAATAATAATAATAATAATAATAATAATAATAATAATAATAATAATAATAAGAAGAAGAAGAAGAAGAAGAAGAAGAAGAAGAAGAAGAAGAAGAAGAAGAAGAAGAAGAAGAAGAAGAAGGCCGATCAGAAGGCCGAGATTGCTAAGGCAGCGGTGCCGTAGTGGTTTCGGACCAGAAGATTGCGGGTTTGAGTCCCGCCTCGGGCATGGGTGAATTTGTGTGTCTGTATGAGTATGTGGTCCTTTCACCCCTCATTATCATCATCATTTCATTCTCCATACCCCCAGGGCTAACAACTCTGGGGAATAAAAATCGGTACTGGTACGAACACTCACCAAAACCGGTGACAACTGTTGTATTGTGTACAATATTGTTCGACACACAAATTCTAACTGATCGCTCGATAGCGGTAAACAAATCTGATATTGGTATCCGGGATGTGGAGAAAAATCCTGCCTATTTTTAGTGTCATCAAAAGTTAGTTATGTGTCTGTGCCGTGTCATCAAAACATCCGAATCAAGGAAGCAGGGAAACGCCTTGAATTCAAGGATTTCGAAATCGAGATCAGCCGAATGTGGAACATAAAAGCTTAGGTCGTCCCGATAGTCAACGGAGCTCTGGGTTTATTCCACAAAATTGGTGTACGAACTCGCCTAAATTCCCGGGTCATTCCAAAAATTGGGAAGTGATTCAAAAGTGATTGGTTCATTTGGAACGGTTAATTAGCTCATAAATTACAATTAAAACTATTATTTAGACCCTCGGGTGGCTCCTGGTCAGCGTGCTGGTTTTCTGTGAGGGGGTCTCGGATTCGAATCCCAGCCGGGCAGAAATAGGAATGTAGCTTTCTAATACAAATCATATCGGTTTCTAGAGCTTTGTAAGGACACAAAGGGCTTAGGAAGGCCAAGTATGATAGGTGCGGTGATGGGAATATGCCATGCTCGCCACGTGACTCCCTTACTCACAGGCGTGGATAATAAATAAAAACGGGGGCCCAGGTCTGGGAACGCCACTTGATGGCAAGAGTCCGATTAATCAGAGTCTAAACTTCGAAATATATACATATTTTTATTTTTAGAACTAATTTCCAAAGCCCACTGAAGTTGAAAGAAACCTCTGCAGACTCCGGTTATTTGCGTGATATTAATGGCTTAGACACACAGAAACTACATGCTAGTGACATAACTAGACTACATATCGGACAAATCGAAAAAAGTCTATTATATTTCAAACTTCTGTATGTACATAAATATACGAAAAATTACGCAGCATACGACTCTAGGAGTGACTCCTGAATTTGAGAAACATCTAAAAACCATGAAGCTGTTTCGATTTGGACTGAAGAATCCAAATATATGATTGTGGTATTCATTCCACTCCCATTCTGCGTGTTGCGACTGAATTTTCATACTCAACGCGTAACCACTTACGATATTGATGACGTTATACGACAGCAATGCTCCAAGGAAGATGCCTCTCGCATTTATTTTATTTGCGTTTCACGTCTTTTATTTAAAAAAGTATGTGATGAGAGTAATTTATGTGGCCTTCCAAACAAACAGCTGAGCTGACAGATATTCGTTACCCTTTGGGGACAGAGGTTTTTCAACGCAATTATTTTGATTTGATATTAGTAGAAAATCAATAAAAATACTATGTGACGTGTGGAGGAGAATATACTTCTTCTGTCATTTTCTTGAGTTTTAGAATCTCTTCCCTACATTTGCACTATATATAGTTGAATGATGAATAAAAGTTTTTAAAAAAGTGAAGTTAGCACCTTTTGAGAACTAGAAAATTTTCGTTGTAGAACATTATCAATAATGGTCGATCGATAATTACCGATCGCTTGTATCGATAAACAAACTGCATGATTTTTTATAATATTAACAAATAGAAACGCTAGAAATACATCCGCATCTGTGCTCCTAGCACTACTAGCAAAAGTTGACCTGAACAAAACGTGCGCATATTGAACCTACATTTCTGTCCAGAAGCAAAACAAGAGGCTATCTCAACAATTTCTCAAAGGATAAGGGAACCTGGACAAAAATCTGATCGAGATTGGAGTCATTGACCCGGAAGCAGAAAGTTAACAGACAGAAGAAGTTTTACAGTCATATTAATTCACAATACAAATGTGCATCAAGATTTCATTTACTTCAGACTTTTTCGTTACCAGAACCCGACAATTAGGTATTTTCTGGCGAAATCGTGCACTGTTGACGGCGATTTTTTAATGTATATAAAACGCTCTGTTTGTGACCCTGCTCCAAATTGTGTTTTGTCCATTTGTCTATTTTATTTTCCTTATTTTCTTTGTTTTCGCAAAAAGGAACATCACATTCATATAAAAATATTTTCACTGAATCAATGATCACGCTGTTGACATGATGTACACTTGAAACGGGTTTTCTTTTCCTTACTTGTTTGCTGGTTCTTCGGTTAATTCACGTTCACTTAGCCTTCCCTTTGTCCAGTTCCTGTCACTGGTGGAGTTGCAGGCGAGCGGCCGCGGCGTGGGTCCACACTACGACCCATTTAACCTTTCAGAGCCACTATATACTGCATTAGGGCCCGCCATTGAAACCAGCTTACCTGGAGCTCATGCGGTAGCCCGCGGTGCTCGCGGTGGTATTTCGGAGCCAGCGTGATGAAAGGGAAGTCGTTTGCGACCGATTCTATTGTGCGACTCTGCTCTGGGCTGAACTGCCGGAGACTCTGGTCCGGAGGGTTAATGGTATTACTGTAGGATTCACGCCGTTTTTTATTCGCGAAAAGGATCCGTAAAAAAGCTGAACGCAACATAATTACAATATACTAATTCATTATTGTAAAGCGTCGATTAACTTTTGTACAAAATAGCCTGTATAACAATTCTGTTTAAAAATTAGAAAGACTTTTACTCATTCATTTGAAACATACTGCCTAAACAATGCTTTATTGCAGTAGAATAAAGGGTTTGGAAAAGGAAGTGAAACGCACGCCTAAAATCAAAGGAATTTCAGATTTATCTCATCTACAGCTTCTCCTACTCTTTCTCCTCTCTCTCCCCCTCTATCCTCTCTTTCCCTCTCCCTTTCCCTCTCCTGTTGCCCTTTCCCTCCTCCCTCCCCTCTCTCATCCACTCTCTCTCCCACCTCTCTCTCTCCCTCTCGTTTACGACAATTGGATGCCTCTAGGTAATAATAATAATTATTCTTTATTGGACATTTTACTTTCATACGAGAACGTATTCTTTCACGATTAAACGTCATGGCCTAATATACACCTATTAACTGAACAGCCAAGCCCCGAAGCAGGCAAATTTAGAGAGAAAGAAAACAATATTCAGATGTTTTCTTTATAAAAATTAACAATATTTATCAGATATGTCGTTAATTCACCGCTATTTGTTGTTACGCACTCATTTCTAAAGAAAAAGAGAACCTACAATGAAAAACGATGCCAATTAATTTATTTATCGGGTTGTTTAATCAGGGATCCTGAATGAATCTCCAGGGAAAAATACGACTAATAAGTAGGATGATAAACCATCAATATCCTTAGACCGTATTGAAGGTGAAAGATTGATGAGCAAATTTTGGCGTGCGGCGATTACAATGACGAATCGCGTGAACTGACCTCCCAGGAATGGATGTTGCCAATACATTTATCATACCTACGTATTCAAGAGTCATATCCACGTAACAAGTTTGGCAATATGAGGATTAAGCATCGGCTCCTGCCTTCGCTCGATTCCCACAAATTTCCTTTGTTATTACTCCGATACGAATGAATGCGATGTCACTTCCTGATGGGCAACCAATTTCCGGTCGGTCAACTTTCACTCCCACCAGAATAAATATGTGCGCAGACTTACTTTCCATATTGAATTCATTGAGCGTGTAGGTGCGGTGCCAGGGGAAACACACGGAGTAATGCTGTACGGTTAGATATACTACACTCGTGTTTGAAAAACATTAAAAGAAAAAAGTGCAGTGGCGGTTCCAGAGACAATTTAGAGGGGAGCACAAAATGATTGAATGGGAAGTGGAGGGGCCGTAGAAAGAGAACAGGAGACTATGTATACATTTAATATTCGAGAAACCAGATTTTTTGACAAATAGAGAGCATTGTCATTTCAACATCGCGTCACGAATTTAAATCACAAAAAGGAAAATTAAAACTATTTTAAAAACAAAGAAAACTAGTAATTTCAATTAACTACATTTGAAAATATTAATAACTAGTGGTATAACAACAGCACGTACTTTCTCGCGATATTGTTAACAGCTATGTAATATTATTATATGACAATTTCTGCCTTACACTTCAACCATCATTTGAAAACTTCTTGTACAAAAGAAGCGTGATGATACATATATATTTTAAACTCAAATTCTTAAACGAAAACAGCTTTCCGCTATTAAATTCAGTATATTTACGTTCTATTACGTACGTACAATGCGTATTTTAGCTCTAAATAAAATTATTAGATTTTATTAACGTGAACGAAAGACAGCCGTCACTATCACGTTCTGCTATTAGTGAGGCATTACAACAATGGGTTACAGCAAGCAACAATGACTGCTGATTTGTATGGGCTACACATTTTGCTAATTAGCATTTTTGATACCGCTAGTAAAAAATGAAAATGGATAGAAACAAGTAATAAATATTTTTTTATATTCATCAGAATTACTGAGTTTTTGTAATTTGATTTCACATTTAACAATTAAAGGTCACAATTTAAAATAGGTTTTAAATAATTTCTAAAAGATTAATTTGTAAATATATAACGAATTTTCGAATATAAGAAACGAACAAAGAAACATGAAATAATGTACAAATTCTAACTTAGGAAGCACATAACTGCCTCAAATCTCACATTACGTTCACGAAGCGAAGTATATTATTTTTTCCACTTTCACTTACGGATGTCCAATCTGGGAATATGAAGCTCCTAGCGCAGTAAATCAAATTACAGGAATCCTAAGAATTCCTCTAAATGTTTCCTAGTTCGTTATCTACCAACAAATTCATAAGGAATTAAAAGTTTCAAAACAAGAAAAAATGTAGCAAAATTAGGTAACAGTTTTTAAAATAACTGTTACTATTTTTAAAGAACCATCCTATTTCATATTTAAAAAAAAACGCTTTCTGTCCTCGTATATAATGTATCAGAAAGATAATTTCAAACCCTTTTAATAGAAAACAACATCCACTCATCAATTTTATCATTTCCTTTCTTCTTTCTAAACTAAACATATTAAATTTAATAAACAATCAATTTAGAGTTGAAAACTAATGGTATATTAAAGATGGCATATCCAACATTATTTGTGAATAATTATATGCTGTGTACTTGAAAGATTGTATTGTCAAGAAAAAAGAAATATTTTTTAAAAATTTTGCAACTGTTTCTTTTATAAGCATGAAAGTTTTTGAAGCAGATGAAATATTTCATTCTGCTAACACAGAAATTTGTTCCATTTTTGGCCCATTAGAATCGGTTCAGATAGTTGTACGAGAATGCCTATCCTACAAACATAAAACACGACGCTGGACGTTTGGCGTTATACAGCCAGGCACAAACCTAGAATATTGTCACCAAATATGCGGGGATAACCTTAAAAGTACATTTAATGCTAATAATACAATTTCATTTTATAATAAAGTCAAATAAAATTGAAAACTGAAATAAAACATTAAGACTAGGGGAGTTTATTAAAGTAGGTAATATCTGACTGTAAATGCGTCTTTTGCAAATTCTTCAATCTCGTATTGTAATAAGGGGTATTACTTCAGAAGTAACTACTATGATACCTTGAAAAAATTATTTAATTTCTTCAAATATAAAGAAATTAATACAATATCAACAAATAATTTAGAAATAATGTAACTGGAATAACAAAACGTTATTGCTTCCTAAACTTTTATGTAATAAACGTAATTCTTGTGTGGTCAACGCCCGGAAAGAAAACATGCCTCACATACGCTAATAAATTTTAAGAAAGTAAAATTTTTATTAACAGTGACAAATAGACATCGCATATTTGATTGACTAAAAATTCATTCTAGTGTTCACTCGTACCCCTTTGTTACAAACCAAAGGTCCTTAATAGAAAATTAAAGGGAATATTACAACCAATATTGTCTTAACCTTCAAAGTTATGTAGTGGCTTTAATACAGAGTATTTGCACTGCGCGAAGCACTACAAGGTGTCTCAGAATAAATGTTACAGACTTGAAGAGGAATAGAAAAGATAACTGTTTGCCAATGAACATGGATTGGGAAATTCCATATAACGGAGTTACAAGTGTGATATTGTCCCTGAAAATTAGTCAACTCGCACGCAGAGATGTTGGGCAGGTCAAGTTTTGACGCAGTGAATTCATCTACCTGTCAAACACCTGTTTATATGAGGTTGTTTAATTTTAAAGGCAAATATCGCATATGTGACTCTGTCGTGCAAAAATTATCAATTCATTTTAAAAAAAATACTTTTTTACCCTTCTACATGCCCTAGAAGTTGGTAACATTTATTCTGAGGCAAGCGCAGTTTTGAACCTTTTAACATACACTAACACAAACATTACAACAGATATGTCTACAATACACTACCAGTATTATTGTATGTAAATATATGCCTTATATCATGAAAAAGTCACATGATCACCATTAATGGGATTTGTTATAATTTCGTCGGGAGTTCACGGTTAGCTCTATACTCCCAAGTTCGGGAAAAACTCTTGTCGAACAAATGTGAATAAAGAAGATGTGGCATTTAGAGAATTTTGCACTAGTAGCGCGTACAGCCATCAGTACACAAAACCACGTCCATTTATTATGGTCTTTGAATGAACCTTTTGAAATTAGCTTTTAAGCTTTGAACGTTACACGTCACGTCCTTGGCTCTAATATGCATAATATGTTTCACGAAACGCCGTCGAAAAACGGTATCAAGAGAAAGGTGGCAACTTACGCCTCGATGTCGTCGTAGTCGCGCTCGGGGCCCGGCGGGGGCACGCGCGGTCCGTCCCCCTTGCCCACCACGCTCAGGTCCACCTGCAGGTAGCCCTTGGGGCCCGCCAGCGGGTCCTCGGGGTCCGTCAACAGCGCCCACTTGTGGTAGAACTGGTGGTCTGCAACAGCCCCGCCCCGCTTGCAGCACCCTCCGCCTCCGCCCAGGGCCACTCGCCATCCGAAGGGGATCAAAATCAACTGAGCCACTTGCAGGGGTCTTCTAGAGCATTGAGAGGACTCGAAAATTGTTTTTCACCAATGACCATTTAATAGGAGTTTTAAAGTGATGGATTTTATGGAAGTAGCATTTGACTGTGATTTTTAGGCAACAGCATGTGCACAAATGTTCTGAGGAAATATAAAATCTTCTTGACTGTGTCATATTGTAACCTACCGAACGAATGTGTATAAAATCAGAGGCAAATGTCACACATAAATACATATAACTCAGTCATATACAATTTACCACTTTATATTCAGTGGCGAAAATTGATCGTTTTTTACTCATCTACATGTTTTAGAAATTTATAACATTTATTCTGGGACACATGTATGCAAAGATCTTTTAAAATAATGGGACAAATTACTAGGACATATTGGAGGTCCGAAGATGATATTCATTTGCCAAATTGGTGTGATGGGTAATCTCATATAATTACGTTACACTTGTGACATTTGATCCTGATGAGTAGGCAATTCACCTTGCCCAGTTGTTTGGTGGGTATCAAAAACGAATTTATCTGCGTCAAAAATTTCACCTGCTAAACAGGTACCTACTGCATGCTCAGTTAGGGGCATATATCACAATTGTAACTTCGTAATATAAAATTTTCCAACACACGTTCTTTAGCAAAAAGTTATTATTTTGGATCCCCTACATGTTCTGGAAGATTGTACAGTTTCCTCTAAGATAGCTATATAAATAAGACATATCTTAGACACAAGAGAATTGATACGAACGAAATGAAAACAAATCGCATTGACTTGAATGAAATTTAATGTATTTACATTGAAAGGGATTAAGATAAGAAAATTAACTCGAATTTAATTTAATGTTCTGAATGGCTTTAGTTCCACTTAGTAATGAATTTAGTTCCACTTTCTTAGATGCTGAAACTATTTCATTGAAATCACATTGAGTAGAAAAAATTAACACTGAATTGAAACTAATTTATCACTAATTGAAAAGTGAAAATCGAATCTGTGAACTGTTCAACTCTATTAAAGTCAACAGCGCTGTTTTTGATAGAAAGAGTTTGAAATGTTTTCATGCTTCTAGTCCTTTACGCGTGTGGCTCAGATTTTGGTTTTTCTTGTGTTGGTTCCTGTTATTAATTGTAAACATACGACTTAGAACAGTTCACTTAACATCGCGTATGTACAAATGGGAGCAAACAATCAAAATGATGATATGGGTGAAATTAATGACTTTATCACAAATATTCGGATCTCTACACTAGTGACAAACATAAAAAATAAATCAGAAGCTCGAGTCAACAACAATAATTTGGTTGAACTTTGTTTGTTAACCTTAAATGTGTTATGTTGGCGACGTGCATTGGGTTAAAGTACGTTTTATTCTTTAGCAATTTACAAATTTATGTAGTTATTTTTGACAATATTTGTTTCTCTCAATTTTTCGTAGTAATAATTAAGAAAATGTTAAGTACTTCTCTAAACGTACTTGTTTTTGTTTTCATTATAAACATATATAGAGGAGTCAAAGTCCTAATTTCCCTAAAACACAACGATGCCCTATTATACAATAGAATCATTACTTGGTGTTTCGGGATGTGTCGGTTCGTTATATCCAACAGAATTAGCCCCGTAAATAAACGGGCATATTTAATGATAATACTCGTTGACGTTCTGATTTGTAATCAAGGAATAAAAGTTAAGTAAGATATTTCAGACATCAGAATATAAAATGCAAATATTCTCATAACCAGAACTGTTATGTAGAATATAATGTGAAGTATTGGAATACATGTTTTTAACGGTATCGCAAATAGGTATACCGAATAAAAATATAATTATTCTTATAAAAATAAATTGGTAATTCCAAATAATTACAAGGATACTCACGAAATTTTGAACATTGAATTTTATATTATGAGTTTAATTCTCGTTGACACGAGCTTGTATCATTTTCTGCCACTTAGCACTCACAACGACTCTTATCTTACAATTATTGATAGCCCATAACAACTCTTGTCATCAACACCCACATTCAGTCTTGACAACATTGGATAGGTCTGAAAAGTCCATTCTCAGAGCAAACATTAAGTTAAATACATGAAATATTGCACAAAAGTATAGTTACACTCGAGCTTGAAATATAAGGCATCTGAAGAAAAAATACAGCATCATACCACGATTACACGAAATAAGAGAGAACACATGGTACATAATCATATATTGAAAACAATATCTGAAGTAAACATGCATTCAGTGGTGAGAGATTTGTGGGAGAGTGATGCGCCCATGCAAGTGTGAAGAAGCAGGTGCAGAATATTTATAAAGGATTCGTATTGGCAACGTGTCTACATCACGAAACGAAGCTTCTCATTTGCAAAGCGAACTTTCCAAAAGCAGTGTCCAATTACAACAATCCGATTAATTTTGTAGCCTTACAGCCATTTCCAGACTTCCGCTATTTAGAAAAAGGTGGATTTACCACCATCATTAATACGGTGAAGTCGAAGCTGTCTTGTGGCTCTCTCAAGACATTTCTTGAGCAATCGGAAGCCCCCGTAGTGATGGCGGCGGAGGAGAAGCCAAAGGGACTGCAGGGGAAGCATGGAGCGGGCAATAAAGAGCGAACGAAGTTAGGATTGGCTTACGGCTCCCAATTTTTAGCGGGAGTTACCATTCATCTCTAGAAGAAGACATCGAGTATTTCAAAGCACGGTTTTGCTGCGATGACTTTGCAAGGTATTTGTCTCAATATTTGTGGGGATTAAATGAAATGTTACATTCGTGAATTAAATGATCAGTTAAAAATATTTGCTGTACTTATCAGATACAAAGTTCGTTTATCAGCAAAAAAGAAAATAATTTCTAATTATTGTAAATAATAAAATATTTAATTGAAATAAAATAAAGCTTAATATCTAATTTATCTATTCTAATAATGATATTACTTTATCAATCTTTCTGAGGCCATTCAGATGACTCAAAATTTCTATTAGAGAGACGCATAAGTTAAATTTTAAATTGATTAATGTTTAAAGTTTCCACAACAACGCTTGCAACTCTTTCGTCTGCTATATTTTCTGATAATTATACGAAGATGCAGTTTTTTTCAAAGTTAAATGCTTGTCCAGTCTATCATGGAACTGTTCATTGATTGGACATATACTCTGAAACGTCCTTGGGCAATGTGAAGGTTTGATAAAAAAACATTTGGTGAGCCCCTTGGCCTAAAAAACTTCAGGCAATGAAGCTAAAAAATGAACTCCTGAAACTTCGGACGCCTTCAAAAACAACACTGCGGACACGAGCCGTTGTTGATTGAAAGAAAGTGAAAAATAAAAATATGGCGGTATATTATAAATTATACAGGAATGAGGGAGCAAAGGTTGGGCCGATGAACAAAATTCAGCAGCTCACCCGCTTTAGAGTTAATACATGAAGGCTTATATCAATAATGCTACTATTACATTTCTGTGAAGTGGTGATCGTGATGTAAGAAACTGGGCTTTTATAGGGAAGTGAAGTAGTACCGAGGTCGGTGTTCACTACTTTTCTAGCTTCGCGCGCTCTTAAATGGTGCTCTCCACCTGCATAGTGGTGCTTCGATAGAGCGGGGCGGAGTGCGATGGTGGGGGGAAGGCTAAGTCAGGGCATCAATCCGAAGCGAGGTGGTTGTAAACCAAATACTGAACTATATGGCATCTTTCTTTAAACAATTATATATTTCAAATTTATGATAGAAAGTAATTTTGTTATAAATTCATCACTACAAATTGTATCTATGGAAATTATTGACAATCACGTTTTAAATAAATAAAGCAAATGAATTTAAATCAGCAAATTGCTCGTAAAATATGGCTGAAAATAAAGTCTTAAAGTAATTATTTTTTACGTTTTACCTTATTGAATTTCTCAATTACATTTGCAGTGCGCTTTGCACGTGATAATTAACGTTCCAACTTTATTGTAGGGATGTGTTAAATGGGGCATCATGTTGCGGTTTAAACATACCACACAATAGTGCTACGTTAGCTAAACGTAATTGGCTAGCTTAACTGCAATATACAGAAAACATTAAATATTTAGATGTTAAATATTTAATAATAAATATTTAGGTTTCCAATGAAATGAATATTACATGTTATTCATTATTTATCAATCATCGCCTAACCATTAGAAACCTGTTTATAATAATATACTGTTTCTTGTTCATGTAAATACTTAAGTACTTCCCAGGGTTTGATTAGCTAAAATAAATTTTATTTAAATATTTACTCGCAAATTTTATGTATAATCTAAGTTTAATTACACCTCGTATTATAACTCACAGCAGAATACTATGTTATGGAAATTGTTTCCCTTAATAGACAGATATTTTATGAAATATATTTTTATATAATTTTATACCCTTGTCTTTATTGTATTGATGTGATAATAATTATTAAATATTATAAACTATATTAATCTGTAAAGAGAAGATAGCAGTTGCAGATAGAGTCTGTTCAGTTTATGAAGAAGGGGGAAAACACATATTTAAAAAAAACGGCTTAATTACGAATTTCTAGAAAGACAATTTTCCATTGAGGTCAGTGGGCAATGAACGAAGATATTAAACATCATTGGTAGTTTTACCCATAAAAATTGTCACTATTTTCAATTCCCTAAACTTATATTTTAATTTAGTATTTAATTACTAAAGTAATATAAAGAAGTGATATTTTACTAAACTTCGAATAAAGTCAGTTTGATTCGCTTCCAGTTGGATGCCCCGAGCGAATGCGGGTGGAAATTGGGCAAAGCGGGCTAGGGCAAGGCTGCAGTTGAATCGATGCTTTTTCCTTACAGACGGACTATCAATTATTAGTGAAACGAAATACATGGTAAGAACTCTAATAATTTACACTGTCAATATCGTAATTGATGTATTTAATCTTTTCTGTTTTTTAACTTCAAATTTTATCGCAAACGGGTTAATAAATATTAAATACGTATGAATTCTACAGTAGCTGTTTTATTATCAAATTATGCATGAAAAAATGTCAATAAAATCAAAATATTTGCTCATTATTTCCTTCCACTAAATTTTGACTTTCTGAGAATGATTGTGACTTTAAAATATTAATTATTACATACGGTACCTTACAGTACCACCTTTAATTTTTATGATTATGAAAAAAAAAAATTTCTTCATGATTTGGAAAAAAACTGTAGTACGAATTTAGATATATTGTTATGCATGCATTTAGAAATTTATATGAATAAGCTAATTGTTCAATAAAATATTTTTTAATTAAACGATCTAAAAAATTTGAAGATTTCCCAGCTGAGTCTTAGAGTTCTGTAGGCAGGAAAATGTCAGCACTAACGGGCATTGCGGTGTTCGCCCCTGACATAGAAACTCAGATTTCACATCAAATTGACAAACATTTACAGCTTCATTATTTGCAGCAGAGTGCATCGATTCCACTGCAGCCGGGCGGGGCGGGGGCGGGGCGGGGC